CATCGATGTTAAATGATGGATTTTTTAATAAGTAAAATGATATTTATATACATATGTATGTATGAACTGTTAATTTTGAAAGTATGAGTTTAAGGATAACTATTCTAATTTTTAAGAGAAAAATATAAATTAGAGAATTGTGGTATATTCCATTCAAGTTTCTAAAAAAAAATTTAACTTAATCTGAACAATTTTAGAACACATATGTAAATTGCAAATTATCTTTGGCACACATCTTTTTAAAAACATTAAAATTTAAAACCTTCTACATATATCTCATTTCAACCATTGGACTCACGATACTTTCAAAATTAAATATGACCATTTTATGCCTGTTTATGTACAAGAAATTTATTTAAAATAATATACATTTATTATATTTTGTTCCGTTATGTAATTTTTCATGAAAAATAAAACAAAAATAAATAAAATCCAATATTTTATGTGTATTATTTGAATTTAAACATACAAAATGTGTTGTTCAATAATACGAATTTTTCGGTATTACGAAAGGGCCTGACACTATATAATTCGTACTAGTGGACGTCCACTGTACTTCAATTAAAAGTTTTCTCAATGTTGACAACTTAAAGGTGTCTTTATGTATTTCAAACTGTAACTGAAATCTCTAATTAATTTCGATATTATTTTCATGTACACTGTGCGTATGTGTGTATGTATGTCAGTGGGTTGGAATGAAATGAATGAATTGGTAAAATGCTTCACTAAATACAACATCCCATCTAATCTGCAACATAAAGTTGAAAGCATTTCACAGTGACAGAATTATAATTTGACACTGTTTCCATAGCTGCAGAAGCATAAGAAGTATGGCTGCGTAAATGGGGCGATACAATTTAAGGGGGCCTCGAATTATTTTTCTCTATAATAAAAAATATATATACATACATAAGTCATACATAAATTAATTAAATTACAAAGATTCGTTCTAAGTACGAATATTTAGTGACAACGCATCTGAAAGAGGCGAAAGTAACAAACAAAAATAAACATTAAGGATTTTAATATTTTCCAAATCCACCACCATCTTTTACCAAACCTCCTTCATCAAGACACAACTAGAGTTTTACTTATTTAGAGATACAAAATGTGTTGTGTTTCTCTCATTCATTACCCTAATTAATTAATATCGTCGTATTGTACTCGTAAAAGTGTGTGCGATTGTTTTCACTGAAATAGTTTCATTGAAGTTATACAAATACCTACACAATTATTTTACAAATAGAAAAATACATTCATACAAACAATGCTTTTTTGACATAGCTGGCAAGAACTTGAAAGTGTAGTTAAATTTTACTATAACTACCAACCACCAAGCACTATATCCAATACCACTACATTTATAACCACAATCTTTTGCAATTCTAGAGCTTTTTCAAGTAATATACTATTTAAAAATCTCTTTAATCTGTTCTTATGTACTAAATTTGATATTACCACTATTATGTTGGTATATGATGAAATATCAGCAAAACAAAAAATTGACTCTGATAATGAAATGTTATATATTTTTAAGTTTTCTGGTAACCTAATACATTGGGCCTGCTTAAGGTATGGAATATCTCTGATCACGGGTCAGTTAACAATTACATATTAATTATTCTCTTTTAAATTTTGTACTGATTGGTTCATAATTGAGTCAGGTCAAAATGTGAAATGGAAATGAGGTTTCATATAGTTCATATTTTCGAATTATTGACTTTCGGTTTTATTGTATCGGTTAACCAGTTTTTTATGGACGATATTTTATAGATGATGATAGATAGATAGATAGATAGATAGATAGATAGATAGATAGATAGATAGATAGATAGATAGATATAGATAGATAGATAGATAGATAGATAGATAGATAGATAGAGATAGATAGATAGATAGATAGATAGATAGCTCGCTCGCTATAGCTCGCTCGATCCTCGCTCGCTCGCTCGCTCGATCGCTCTCTCGCTCGCTCGCTCGCTCGCTCTCGCTCGCTACTCGCTCGCTCGCTCGCTCGCTCGCTCGCGCTCGCTCCTCGCTCGCTCGCTCGCTAGCTCGCTCGCTCGCTCGCTCGCCTCGCTCCTCGCTCGCTCGCTGCTCGCTCGCTCGCTCGCTCGCTCGCTCGCTCGCTCTCCTCGCTCGCTCGCTCGCTCGCTCGCTCGCTCGCTCGCTCGCTCGCTCGCTCGCTCGCTCGCTCGCTCGCTCGCTCGCTCGCTCGCTCGCTCGCTCCTCGCTCGCTCGCTCGCTCGCTCGCTCGCTCGCTCGCTCGCTCGCTCGCTCGCTCGCTCGCTCTCTCGCTCGCTCGCTCGCTCGCTCCGCTCGCTCGCTCGCTCGCTCGCTCGCTCGCTCGCTCGCTCGCTCGCTCGCTCGCTCGCTCGCTCGCTCGCTCGCTCGCTCGCTCGCTCGCTCGCTCGCTCGCTCGCTCGCTCGCTCGCTCGCCGCCGCCCCCTTTTCCTTCTCTCCCTCGGCTCCGCCTCCCTACCAAGTCCCTTTCCGAAATGACTTGAATGTCAAAATTTGGAAACAAAGTAATATTCAAGATAAATACTATATTATGAACAATAAATCACATTTAATATTCATACTGATGTAGGGTATCTTATGATCGTCCACGCCCTACTATACTTTATTACTTGTAAATGTTTCACATGTGAATTATTTTAAATAAATTGCGAATTTGTACTGAGTCCATATTTCTCATCGTATTTTTTATTACTGTGGTCACATAAGTAATTCACAATTTATTTGTAGTTTTGCTGGGTAATTTACTTTGTCTGATTGATGCAAAAATATCATGAGTTTATTTAAAAAATTGCTTTTATGACAAAATTTTAACTATTATATACAGTGGTTTCCCGATTTGAATCGATCGATTGGATATTTGCGGTTTTCTTAAAATCGATTTCGACAAACATACACACAGGTAGACCACAACTAGCGTTCATTAAAACTTATAAAATTACTACGAGGAATAACATTAAAATTTAGATTTAATACTTTCTAAAATTGTCCGTGTATTTTTGAATTTTTTAAAACTAAACATTTTAAATATATTTATATCTAGCTATACCCAGTGTGCTTCGCTACCCTCATCGTAATGGAATAAAATTAATATTATTGGAAATGTATATACATATCTGCGATATCAAAAAGTCCCCTTTTATAGATTTTCATACTGGCTTCTAGGTTCAATATTGAAAATCTATGAAAGTCTTCTTTCAAAAAGCACCCTATAAGTTTGATTTTATGATTCTATTCTCAATATTACAGGAAATTCAAAAAATGTTGTTAAAGAACGAAAAAGTACCAGACAGTGCCTTTTTATAGATTTCCAATAAATAAGGATGATGCATGTTTAATTTTCAATCAGAAATTCCTCTCATACAGATTTTTATATAATCAGGAAGCTGCGTGTTTTTAAAGTTCAATATTGGAATATTTTAAAAACTTAAAAAGTACCAGTTCAAAAACGAAAAAGTACCAAAAGACCTCTTTCATTTAATTTCATGTTCCTAAGTTCAATATTATAGAAAATTCAAAAAGTACCAGTTAAAGAACGAAAAAGTACCAGAAAATACTCCATTTTAAATTTTTATTTACCCTGATTGTCTTTTGAGTTATAGAAAACTCAAAAAGTACCAAAAGGTCCCCTTTTATATGTTCTCATTTACTCCGTGTTATACATGCCTAATTTCATGTTTCTAGGTTCAATATTATAGAAAATTCAAAAAGTACCTTTTGATGAATGAAAAAATACCTAAAAGTCCCCTTTTATAGGTTCTCACTTACTCCGAGCTCTACATGCTTAATTTCATGCTTCTAGGTTCAATATTATAGAAATTTCAAAAAGTACCTTTTGAAGAACGAACAAGTATCATTACTTCTCACTTAATTAGGGCTCTATATGCTTAATTTTAAATTTCTAGGTTTAATTTTAAAGAAATCTTAAAAAGTACCTGTGAATAAAAAACTCAAAAAATACCAGTTGGAGAATGAAAAAGTACCAAAAATATCACTTTTTGTGTTTCTATATATCAAAATGTTATTTAAATTGAATAAAATAAAATTTCCCGTTTTTACCCTTTCTTGGTACTTTTTCCTCTCCATTAACGAAATAAAATGTCTATTTCAAAAAGTTGTAACATCGTAGTGGGAGCCCGTTATTATATATTCATCATATGTATAAGTTAATAAACAAAAAAATGTTTTATGAAAAATGTACCAAAAATATGTACAATTTTCATAAAAATATCCAAAAAGTACCAAATTCATATTTTTGTTTTTTCGTTAAGTTATGAAGGAGTCAAAAATATTTGTTGAATGTTTACCGGTTTGAAATTTACATGGGGTGTAAAAAAGTACCAAAATGGAGTTTATTCCCTAAAGGGGCCGAATTTGAAAAAAGTACCAGACACCTGTCAGCTTATTTTTTAAATGTTTTCTAGTTTAGGAGATATGAGGTTACCGAATTTACCAGTTTTTACCCTTTTTTACCTCTTAAACATTCGAATTTTCAAAAATCCCGTCTTAGTGGCTCTTTAGCTTCAACCGTTTAGGCTGTGTGATGATGAATCAGTCAGTCAGTAACGTTAGAATGTTATATATATAGATATATACTTAAGAACATCACAATGAGTGACTAATTATTGTGGTCATAAAATGTGTGGTATTATTAAATAAAATCAAATAATAAAGTATAGTCTTGGTCAAGGACAATATGATACCCTACTCCGATATTCGCTTGATTATTAACATTTTGTAAGTTCCATCGAGCTTTAAAAATGCCCATTATTTGAGTTGAATTTTATCTTATAACCTTTAATTTAAGATTTATTTTAATTTTATTGATGTTCGGAAGTGGACTCACGTATGTATTTATTCTTTTTTAAAATTGGCAAATGGACTGATGAATAAAACTTAATAAGTAGTATACTTTAGCATGTGTTACAATATTTATAATAAACGTTTAATAAATATCATGATTATTTAATTAATTATAACAGTTCCATTTTATATTTCAACCAATACATAACTTGTAACTGAACAGCAATATGAATAACATAATACAATTTTTATTTGTTTTAATTTTAATATTTCAAGCAGTATTTGGATTAACAGGTTAGTTTATAATCACTTTATTATATAGAGCCAAATATACAAAATTTTATCTTTCCAGTTAAAAATGCACAGCATTGCTTCGATGTTCTAGATAAATTGCCTAAAAAAGAAATTGAACATATTTACTATATGAATTTCAAAGATGTGGCTCATACCCATCCGGCTACTGACATCCTAAGTTGTTATCTACGAGAATCACATCACGGAGATAAAACTCCAACTGAACAATATTTTGATGTCTACAAAAAATGTGATGAATTTAGAGGAAAAAACTTTGAACCCTTTGGCTATCATGAATTACAAGAATTGGTGTCATTAGGTCTTCCCTACAACTTGGAAAAATATTTACTTATAAAAATGAAAACGGGTAATAAAAAGGAGCTAGAACAAGGTATACTTTATGTACAGGATGTCATGAGTAAAGACATTGAACTCAGTCGTTACTATAAAGACTATAAATATTATATTTTGATAAAATATAAACCAAAGCGTGAGCCAACTCAAGCGGATTCAAAGTCAATTTTTGTGGATTTGGAAGATAGATTGTACTATATTTTACGAAATATATGGGGATGAAGTTGTAGAAGTGTGAATAAAATGTGTGAAAGAAATATTAAATGCAAAGATATATCACATATTTGCAAGTGATTCTAATGAATATTATTACCTAATACTTAATGTTCTGGGGCCGGAATTAATAACATATCTATGATGTGAATCCGAGTAAATTGTACGTTTAATAAAAATAATAGTTAGTTAGTTATTTAGTTAGTTAGTTAGTTAGTTAGTTAGTTAGTTAGTTAGTTAGTAGTTAGTTAGTTAGTTAGTTAGTTAGTTAGTTAGTTAGTTAGTTAGTTAGTTAGTTAGTTAGTTAGTTAGTAGTAGTTAGTAGTTAGTTAGTTAGTTAGTTAGTTAGTTTAGTTAGTTAGTTAGTTAGTTAGTTAGTTAGTTAGTTAGTTAGTTAGTTAGTTAGTTAGTTAGTTAGTAGTAGTTAGTTAGTTAGTTAGTTAGTTAGTTAGTTAGTTAGTTAGTTAGTTAGTAGTTAGTAGTTAGTTAGTTAGTTAGTTAGTTAGTTAGTTAGTTAGTTAGTTAGTTAGTTAGTTAGTTAGTTAGTTAGTTAGTTAGTTAGTTAGTAGTTAGTTGTTAGTTAGTTAGTTAGTAGTTAGTTAGTTAGTTAGTTAGTTAGTTAGTTAGTTAGTAGTTAGTTAGTTAGTTAGTTAGTTAGTTAGTTAGTTAGTTAGTAGTTAGTTAGTAGTTAGTTAGTTTAGTTAGTTAGTTAGTTAGTTAGTTAGTAGTTAGTTAGTAGTTAGTTAGTTAGTTAGTTAGTAGTTAGTTAGTTAGTTAGTTAGTTAGTTAGTTAGTTAGTTAGTTAGTTAGTTAGTAGTTAGTTAGTTAGTTAGTTAGTTAGTTAGTTAGTTAGTTAGTTAGTTAGTTAGTAGTTAGTTAGTTAGTTAGTTAGTTAGTTAGTTAGTTAGTTAGTTAGTTAGTTAGTTAGTTAGTTAGTTAGTTAGTTAGTTAGTTAGTTAGTTAGTTAGTTAGTTAGTTAGTTAGTTAGTTAGTTAGTTAGTTAGTTAGTAGTTAGTTAGTTAGTTAGTTAGTTTAGTTAGTTAGTTAGTTAGTTAGTTAGTTAGTTAGTTAGTTAGTTAGTTAGTAGTTAGTTAGTTAGTTAGTGTTAGTTAGTTAGTTAGTTAGTTAGTTAGTTAGTTAGTTAGTTAGTTAGTTAGTTAGTTAGTTAGTTAGTTAGTTAGTTAGTTAGTTAGTTAGTTAGTTAGTTAGTTAGTTAGTTAGTTAGTAGTTAGTTAGTTAGTAGTGTAGTTAGTTAGTTAGTTAGTTAGTTAGTTAGTTATTTACTTCCTTAATTCCTTAGTTAGTTTGAATAAATATACATTAGTACATCAAATGTGAAGAAATACAATAAGGTATATCGGACCTGTTGTGCGCTTCAGGAGTTTGCATTTATTATACCCCAAATCACAAAATGTGGATACTTACGTATGTAGTATATGTTTGTATATTTTTGTATATCAACTAATTATTTTATTACAACTTCATTTATATTCACAAAAATTAATCCTTAATATTCATGTTGTTTCGACACAACTTCTCTAAACACATAAAGCTCAACATCCCTGTTTTCAATTTCTTGACAAACGGGAAAAGACGGACCATTTGAGCGTGTGCTCAATGCAGAAAAACAACAACGAAAATTGTCAAGATAACGAAAAACACACTATTGACCTGATTTTGTTTATCACTCGACACATCTGAATGATTCGGAAAAAATGGAAAATATCTCATTTAGACGAAATAAGGAATAACAGTAATGTAAGGGGAAGTATGTGTGTCATTAGTACAGAACACACACACTCATCTACAAGGACATTATAATAGTTGGGGCAGTAGTTGTTATAGTGGTAGTAAAAACCGGTTGGCATGACACGACTTATTCAAATGTGAATGTATTCGGTATGGATCCTAGCATTATATTTTGAAAATTATGCACACATTTACTGGATAGTTGATGAATGAATGAATGTTCGTCTACACATTTATTGAAATACATATAAACAAACACATACATCTACATATAAAATTACGAATTACTTGAATTTCCTGTAAATATTTCTTTAAATACAGATAAACAGCATTAAAAGCTACAGAAACAGTAGCAGAAATAATAAAAATAATACACACACACTTTCATACAGAATAGGACTGACACACTCATTGGTGGAAAACTTCTATACAAATACTTACAAACTTACGAACAATATACAACATTAACCACTTGAATTTTATCATAATATTTCGGTTCGTTTTCTATTTTGCAGTGTTTCCTATACCCTACAGCACAGTTACAGCATTTATTTCCAAAATTTGCAATATCTCAAAATATTAGGACAGAAATCGGTGGGTGGAATTTCCTATTTCCTGTAATACCGGAAACTTTTGTACGCAGCCTTAACGCAATTTTTTTAGTAGTAATCGGTTTAAGTTTTCAACTACTCCACGCACTCTGTTGATATAATTTTCTAGTCATCCTGTTGATCTAATTTATATCAGAGATGTCGAACTAAGTATGCCTGTTAGTGAGCAAGTGGTCCTGATCACTAAAAGGCGCGAAAGTATTCGACCGATTCTGTTGTTATTTGATAATCATTCAAGATTATGGTTTTAGATCCCGTATCAACAGATTTTATTGTAACAACTGGTAACAAAACTTTGACTTGTTCCAAGAAATAGTAAATAAAATAATTTTAACATAAGCTAGTACTGTCTAGAGTTCTTGAATATCAGAATAAATACATCGTGCAGAAGTTCAAAGCAACTTACAACTAATGTTATACGAGTCAGATCAATCAAGATGAAGATTTATCAGATTCAAAACAGTCATGTTTGAAGTTCACAAACACATGCTTTGGGTCAGCACTGGACCTATTACGATCATTAGTTTGGTTGGTTGGTTATCGTAGTAGTTCACTGCGCTCGAACAGCCAAGCAGAGACGAAGGGAATCCGTTTCGTCAGATGTAGTATTGTATAGTATTAGATAAAGTGTTCCTGATCACTAAAAGGAAGCGAAAGTATTCTGCCGATTATGTTGTCATTTGATAGTCATTCAAGGTTATGGTTTCAGATCCCGGAGTGCTTAATCATTAGTTTTTTAGACGACTTAGTTAGTTTTTTTCCTCTTGTATTCCGGTATTAGTAACAGATTTGATTCTAGTAACAAAACTTTGACTTGCTCCAAGAATTAGTAAATGACTCCTTGTTCTATTTTTTCTTTAATTGGTCCTCAACCTTGGTATCCGATAACGTATCCGTGTTCGTTATCCTCACAGTCTGAAAGGCATCCAAATTCTTATTATGGTAATCTACTTCCATCTTAAAATGTGGATGGGCTATTAAAGCCTTGTGTTAGAAAGTACAAAACCCAGTAGTCATCCCAAAGACACACACTAAGTAATCACATTACGCCAAGAGGCAAATACTCTATCATCATCATTTCGATTGTAGTGAACAAAAACTACTAAGATGTGTAGTATACAATGTAATCGAACTTGATCTACTAATTTCGTTGTACTTGTTTATTTCATTACTTTGCGTTGCTGCGTTACAATGTCCTAATTTTTCCTTTATTTTCATATTTTTGTTGCTGTTGTTGTTATTCTTGTACTTTTGTTTTCATTTCACTTTAAAGCATCATTATGACTTTATTTTTCCACAATTTTCCCTTTAGCCCATATTATTTTCGTTGTTTTGTTGTTGTTGTTGTCGTTATCGCTGCTTTTGTTGTCGCCGTAGTTGTCCCTTATGATGTCTATTTGTGTTTTTTAAGGTTTTTCAAAATTCCAAAAAAGCAACAAAAGTTAAAATAAAAAAGTTTTTATTTTACTTTCACTACAATAAATTCGACATTGTGTGGTTTTAGTTGGGTTTCTTTGTTTTTGTAACAAAATATTTCGTTATGTTTCGTCATCTAAGTATTTGTTGTTCTCAAACTGTCCCTTTAACCCTTATTTTTATCCTTATATATTTTTTGGGGTTTTTGCTATAATTTGGATTTAGTTAATACTCGTATCTGGGTTATTAATATGTTTTTTAAAAACTTTTTTCTAGGTTTTCTTTATAATTTTTTTTTATCCCAACTAATGTTAATTACACACATCATTTTTAAGCTTTTTTTTGCTATTGTTTGATAGGTTTTTTGTTTATATGAAAATGTAGTTTGTTGTTTTTTTAATGACATACATTTTTTAAAGGTTTTTCCATATTTATTTATCAAAGATATGACATTGACATTAGGATGTTTGTATTCTCTTACCTTAGATCCTTTAACAGTATCATGAGTTACTGCATACAATTTTAGGGTGTGTGTAGAGTTGGATGCTAGGTATAGCAGATAACTAAGGTTAAAGGGGTTTATATGTATAATTGTTTAGTTTTATATTTATATTAAAAGTCAGAAAAAAGTCTTCAACTTTTTTCGAAATTTCATCAAATTAGAAAAATAATTGTTTAACTTTGAAATAATTTTAATACCTAACTTACCTTTAACTTAAGCTATTTATTATATTTTTGGCTTTTTAGGTTTTGTCTTGCGTCCTTAAAAATCAGAATAAATACATCGTGCAGAAGTTTAAAGCAACTAACTACTATCAGATTCAAAACAGTCATATGTGAAGTTCACAAACACATGCTTTGGGTCAGCAATGTACCTATTACGATCATTAGTTTGGTTGGTTGGTTATCGCAGTAGTTCACTGCGCTCGGACAGCCAAGCAGAGACGAATGGAACGAACGGGACAACTCTACTAGTCAGATGTAGTATTGTGTAGTATTAGATCCAGCCTCTAAGGAGGTCATTGAGTTTTGACTCAGATATCTCAACAATGTTGGATATATAGAAATTGCCAAGGAAACTGTTTTACTAGTTAGAACAGGACATTCGCAGAGAAGATGGAAGACCGTGTCTTCTTTTTCCCTGTCTTTGAAAACAGCGACATTATTAATTAAAGAGGAGCCCAAGCCGATTTGCATGTCTGCCTAGCAACCAATTTCCAGTTATTACTGCTACCCTATATACCCCGTTTATTTCGGGTTATAAGTTGTCTTGTGGGACAC